CAAGAAGCCAGCGGTGCCTTCTCCATGACCACCAGCAGCATGACGATGGAGGTGATGGCGGTGACACAAGCTTTCATGTGGCTAGAATCACAGGACTATTCCCGCGAGTGTGTACTGACTCTTTGAGCATGATCCGGCGGGTAGAGGCAGGCTGGTTACGCAAACAGTGGTTTGAGTCATTGCAAAATTCTCCTGTGTGTGCAGTTACCTTCATATTTGTCCCAGGTCATGCAGGCGTTGTTGGTAATTAAAGATCTGATAGACTGGCAGATGCTGCATTAACTGAAGATGGCCGGCCCATGGATCATGCAGACATTGTCATTGCCCTTAGAGAAATAGGACGTTCTGAGGATTTTGGAAGCAACGATCGGCACAGCCAAGAATGAGAAGCACACCGGACGCACATGAAGTCATGTTAACCAACATAGGACTGGCACTATTAGCCGCACAACGCTTATGAATATGTTGAGAGGGAAACCTGAGCGCCTATGGATGCGTCCGGAGTGCTGTGAAGATAATCTAACTCATAACTCATGAGATGAAATAAGACACAAGACTTAAAGTGTTGCTCTTCTCATCTATGCAATGAAAAAAACAAGACAAAAAATGGTCTCTTCCACTGTTTTTTATCTTTTCTATTCTATGATGCTGAAAGTCTATTTTTTATCACAATAAGAGACCTTTTCCCGTGTGGGTTCCAGGGCCCTATTGTGGGGATATATATCTTCTTCGCGTTCACTAGCTGTACACTCTGGCGGAAAGTTCTGGTTGCTCGTCCACTACTGAACTGCAGTCCTGCTCCAGAACCTGAGTGTTGCGCGTGCATCAGTTTTACAGATCTCATTCTCTTGAACACAGACTGTTGGTTACTTGTCTCTCGGGCAGATGCACTCCGACTTCAAAGGAAGCTCCCCAATTAGTCGACTCTTACGACATGCTTTTGGGGAGGCAGTGGGTCTATTCTTGTTTTCCCCACAATGGGGCCCCGGAACCCACACGGGGGTGGGATATATATATATATATATATACACCTACTGCCTCCCCAACAAGCACGTTGTAAGAGTTGACTAACTTGGGGCTTCCTTCGAAGTCGGAGTGCATCTGCCTGAGAAGCAAGGAAACAGCAATCTATTAAACGAATGTGCACACAACACTCAGGTTCTGAAACAAGACTCAAGTCCAAATGGACAAACAACCAGAACTTTCCGCCGGAGTTTACAGCCAGTAAACACGAAGACGAAGAAGAATACAATAAAAATACTCAGACAAACTCCTGTTATCTTATGCTGAATATATAAATGCAATTTAATTAACAAGGCACAATAGATATTTAAACAAGTTTAAAATGCAATTTACAGCGATTATTTTTATATGAAATGCTGGGCACTCATTCAGGAAGGCCCACCTTCGAATCCTGTTCCTTGAGTGGTTCCAGACCCCCCCCCCCCCCCCCCCAAGTTCATACAAAGCGAATAATTAAGGGAGTTTCCTTCGAAGTCAGAGCGCATCTGCCTGAGAGGTGAAGAACCAACAGTCTGCATACAAATAAGTGAGATCTGTAAAATGGATGTGCACACAAGACTCCTATCCTAGAGCAAGACTTAAGTCCAGGAGTGGACAACCAGCTTTCTGCCAAAGTTTACAGCCAGTTTTTGCCAGGAGGAAGAATCCTAAATAAGATAGATTTTCCGTCAGGGAAAGGGTGGGGGGGAACTTATGCTGACTGAACTATCCACACAGCTTGAAATGCTTAGGCTCAAGACGATGACCCTCCCTCCCTGACCTCATGCCTCCTTGAAAAGGTGTTAAAATACACAAAGATAGTTATTAATTTCTGAACATTTTAAAAAGGAATTTGCTGGCAGCATACATTTATAAAAATTTAGTAAAACCAAGATTGACTGGATCCAACAATCACTATCTTCCATTCAAGCCCCACACGCCAAAAAAAAAAATGACCTCTATTCCCAGGTTAACCCAGTCTTAACTGGGCACCAGGTAAATTTCTGGGAAGTAAAGGTGGCAGATGTGATGCTGACCACAGCACCTACCGAGTGCAGATTGGTCTATAAAATATATAACTTTATATACTCAATACACTTCAGGGTGTGGAAAAGGATCGTTTACTTGACACCTTCCATTCATGTTCTGAGCTCCTGCTTGGATCACACTGGGAGAATCTCAGTTCTGAACACAAAATGTTGCATGGACACGAGACAGTGTTGGAGATCCACTGAAGCCAACCTTCATTTAGGTGATATCACCAGATTAAATAATTTCCCAATGTAGGATCCGAGACCCCTTTTTTAAGGGTAAAAATAGATCCACAGCCCCCCCCCCCTCCCCCAGGTGAGTTGTAGAAGGTGACTAGTCAGAAGGTGACTAGTCAGGGGTGTATCCTTTGAAGTCAGAGTACATCTGCCTGAGACGCAAGGAACCATCAGTCTGCATACAAATAAGTCAGATCTATAAAACGGATGTGATGCAAAAACTCAAGATCTGGAACACGGCTAAAGTCCAGAAGTGGACAAACAACCAGAACTTTCTGCCAGAGGTTACAGCCAAGGAAGGCTAAGAAAAAGAAGACTGCTCGAAAATATACAGAGGAGCAAAACTGCCCATCCCCTGGTAATATGTGCTATAGCAGGACCTCCTAACCTTTGATCAAACAGAACATTTCTTTGTCTGCATTCACCCGAGGACGCCATTGCAGTGCACTTATTTACAGCATGGCTGGGATATTTTTTTCTTTTGGCCAGCACATCTGATTTCTTCAGAGAGGTATTTGTTGCCCAGGTTAGGCCTCCCACACTCAAAACCTTTCACTCCCTTGTCAAATCAGTTTTGCTCCCAGAGTGGGTTTTGGAACCCCCATGGGGGAGGGGGGAGGGGTGGAGGAGGAGGAGGGGAGAAAAGAACACTGGCTTCTTAACAAGCACGTCATAAAAGGTGAACTAATTAGGACCTTGGCTCGCAGGTTGACCCAGACTTAAATGGGTCCAAGGACTTGTCCTGGGAAGTAAAGGCGCACTGGAATGATGTTGAAAATATCCTCACCGAGTGCTGAATGGCCTTTATTATAAAATATGAATCAGGCCTTAATATGCCCTTTACATTAAAAGGATCCTTTCATCTTTGAAACATTAGGGGTTCAATGCACCAAAAGGCAGGTACACAGCCTTGCTGTAAACCACAATACAGCAAGCATACCACCCTTTTAAAGGTGCATACAGACAAATCAATCAGTTTCACAGTATAGATAAGAAAAATGGAGGTCAGCTCAAACAAAGATGGATAAACCATAAGGATTAATTAAAGTCGAGAAGATCGACTACACTGCACCGGGATTGATCCCATTGGGCTGGATCTCTCTCGGCAGAGCCACTAGTGCCTGTGGAGAGCGCCGCACAAAACATGAACCCTATAGCTTTGGTGACAATCTCTCCATGAAAACTGCACTCACGAACCAAACTACGCAGCCCTGCAACAGACCTACAGCCTTCAAAGCAAAAGGCAAGCGGCTCGACCCATGCATCGTGGAAAGTATTAACTAATACCTATGCAGATAAAAGGAACTGAACATTATGACAGAATTACTAACGTACCACTTCTGAAGGTAACTAAACCAGTTCGGGAAAAATCACCAGATGAGAAAAAGTCACTGGTTGATAGGGCACACGTGGTGAAAGGTCTTCTTTTTCTATATACGATATCCCATCTTCAGCATCCAGTGCAGGGGTTTCAATGTCAATGATACTAGTCTGATTACAGCTACTTTCTTCTTTCTACTGAGAGTTGAGTGTTGGCCAGATGCTCTGCTCACTCCTCTGTGCAGTTTTCTCTCTTAGACCGTAATGATGTATTTGTGACTCCGCACTGTTCATTCGCTCGCAAAAAGCCCTCACAACATCTACCTTGTCATACACCAATTCACCACCAAGTGGTGCAGAACTGGCCAGTCTATCTGCCTGCTCATTTCACAAAACACCAACATGCCTGGAGGAAATGTCCAAAGGACGCTAACTAGCTGGGAACTCTGAAGCGATGCTTGTCACTCTGCATGCAGCATGCCTGTCTCCAACTTTCTCAACATGCTCTGAGTCAGTTACAATCAGGACACGTGTGTACAGCCGATTCTCAAGCCAGCAAAAGGTATAGTGACTGCCTCCACCTCCATTCTCAAACTAGACGTGATATCATATGCCAGGCTTTGCTGCACTAGGTGATGCCCATTTGATTCTGCTATGAACCCCTAGGCACTTCGTCTGCCTCTCAACAGAGTCATCTGCTTAAATAATTGTATCCCCTGGGCGGCAAAGGTCATTGAATCATTTGTTGAATTTCTCATTCTGCAGCGCCAGCTGGTCAGTCCCTTCACTCACTACCGAAAGTAATTAGAACCCTACACAAATCTTCTTGCTCGGACACATTGACCCACTCCTCTCCTCGCCCAAATTCATCAAGCTTGCACAGATGTCTAATTGTGTCTTCAGCTTATGCCATCCAAGCCCTTCCTCTTTTCAGTCTGTGACCCTTAGCTCTACGCAGGGCTTCACTCAGGAGGTGCTTCTTGTCAGCAGCTACTCAGATATGACTTTGCTTGCAGACATGTACATGTCCCACAGAAAAGATCCAAAACACACTAACCAAGCCTCTGAGGTGATGTGTCACTCTGTATGCGGCATGCTTTGTTACAATTACAGCATATGTGCGCAGGAGAAAACCTGTATAATTAGAAAGTCCTTTCTCTGAAACCAACAAAGCAAAAGAGGAAGACCACACTGAGAAGAGAATAAGGCACTGACAAATACTTTGGTAAGGAAATACTTTTTCAAAAAAAGCATTTCAATTTATATAGGCTATCCATATTTCGACCGTAGATAAATAGTTTCTGAGACTAAAGCAAACAAAAACAGCTAACTGCATATAACACATGAGTTAAAAACTGAATCTGAATTAATAAATAATAGTCACTCTTCTAAATATTACATAATATAACATTATTTCCTTGCCGACTTTTTCCGAAGCATGTATTGATCCTTTGAACCTTTAAACCTATCAACAGCGATATTCTTCTTGTCAAGGCTTGAATACATCTCTTGAAGCCGGACAGCCATCAGATGGTCCAGCTCTTCTTGTGACATCATTGTCAGGTCGACATCATCAAGATCTATAACATCCACTGCCGAAGTTTCTTGCCCTACTGAGGCTGAACTACCAATGACTGAATCATTTTTAAATCTCTTCTTTCTAGAACATTCATTACTGTCACTAGCTACACAATTTTCTCTCTTCACATTATGTATATCATTAGAACGTTTACTGTCATCAAATACATGCTTCTTCTTATTGTCATCACCTGTAGTGTCCTTTCTTTTTCCAAAATAGTTAAGGACACCCTGGTTATTTCTATGTCTTTGCTCAAGTTTATCAACAAAAACATTTGGATCATTTCTATCTCGTGGCTCAAGTTCATCAACAAAAACATATGGATCATTTCTATCTCGCGGCTCAAGTTCTTCAACAAAAACATATGGATCATTTCTATGTCGCGGCTCAAGTTTTTCAACAAAAACACTCGGATCATTTCTATGTCGTGGCTCAAATTTATCAACGAAAACACTTGCGTTATATCTAAGTCTCGGCTCAAGTTTATCAACAACTGCATTTTTAGTTTGCAGTCCATTTCCTGATTCATTGTTTGGCACACACCACCGCATTATGGAAACAACGGGTTCGGTCTTCTTCCCCAAAGACAGACTCAACTGTAGATTTCTTTGGCTTCTTGGCTGAATGTGTCTTTACTCTGAATATTTTAACTGTAGGATTCAATCTTTGGTGATGATCTTTCACCTGAAAATTAATATTCACATCTTTGTATTGTTTAGAATCAATTCCAATTCTATTTTCTTTCTCTGAATTAAATTTTGATTTTGCAAGGCACGTTTTGAACTGTTTTTCCAATGAGGGTTTAGGAAGTGTTTCTTGTCTGGAAGGACCTAGGTCTTCTGAAAAATCTGTCCAACTATCACTATCACTCAAGTCGTTATAACAAGAAATTATGGAGTCATCACTATCATTTGCATGGACATCATCATCATCATCAAGTGCCCAACCATTAACTGTACCATTACATTTCTGTGTAGTGCCATCTCCGCTTTCTGTCAATCGATCATCCAGTTTGTTGAGGATGCTGGATCTGAATGCTGGATCCACTGTCTGTTTTACATGATCACTTGTAGTTGTTCGATTTTTACAACTGGGATCAACAGCTTCTGGGTCTGCCAGCAAAGTTTCCTGGGAATCGAGCTTGGCACCTCCATGTGGGATGCTGCTCTCTACCACATCTGCATTGAAGTTCTCAAATTTCTTTCTGTGCGGGAGAAGTGCCTTTTGATCACCTGAGCATCCTTCTGCCGTATCTGAGGACTGTACTGGTTGGGTCTGAAGCTGTGGGCCACCAGAATTGAAAGTTTCATTACGTATACTCAAAGAGGACATCTCTGAGGATCTAACCCTTGAAGAGGCAAGGCCAAGATGGGCAGCTCGAACCCCAGCTGCCAGTAAATTGCCTGAATGATCACTGACAGAGCAACTGGACACTGGAGTAGATGATACCCCATTGCAGATTCCCAAGAGTTGCCTCTGTGGCATTGTGTCAGCATGTTTGCTACGTGCAAAGTCTGTTTGCATCTTTAGCAGGAATCTGAGTTTTCAACTCTCGAGATGATGTAACAGTGCCATATCTTCCTAAACCACTAGGTCCTGCGGCTAATCTGTCCGATGTTTCAAGATCGAGGTTAGTTCCGCAGACAACCCCCCCACCACCAACTATTTGATCTTCCAAGGAACCACCAGCCTTGACAAATACGTTAACTTCAGGATGCTTGTGTTTGAGACAGTGTACACTGGAAGAAATAAGCCCTTTTGTTTCCAATGCTGAACATAAATCACAAGTGATGGTGTGTGATCTCAGGTCAGCACTATCACAGCTGTCCATAGGCAGCTTCCTCTGTGTCCTATTACCGCTGATGGGAGACGTGGGGCCTGTCTCACGAGGGACAGGACTGAAAAACGTAGCCATTGTCAAGTTATTACTGGATGCTTGCTTTAGCTGTTTGCCTTTTCCCTTTTTAGCTTTGCTCGCAGCTTTTGTGTCTAACAACTTGCTGCCTCCTTCAAGGGTGCTCAACGATTTATTAAAAGCTTCAGTTTCTGAGAATACGGCTTCATCTTCAGACACAAAAGTCTGAAATAGAAAGAGGTAATTTCTTGTTTTTATTCCTTTTTTTGGTTTGTTCTAATTTGTTTATGTTCATATGGGAAAACATGTTTGAGTATATGAGGGGCTTTCAAAAACCTGTTAACAGTACAAACAAACGGATATGACGCACACTGGGAAAACGAAAAACAGAAAGCAGGCAGTGGGTGACAATAGACAAGCTAAAGGAGATGTCGAAATAACACTGATAGATTTGATGTTTATGAGGGTTTCACATAAAGACGAATGGATATGGAAGTCAGTCTTTTGGATTTACTGTCAACACTTATGTTTGCAGTCTCTGGATTGTCAGTCCTGTATAAACGGCAGACTGCATATCGCCTAAGCTCATGAAGCTCTGAACCATGCAGTTACGCTTCTGGCCTCCCACAGAGTCCCACCATTTCCCCAGTGCTTTTCAAGCAGGATAGCGGCAACAGAGACAGTGCGAATCCAGGGAATCTTGTTGACTTTTGCTGACAATGTCTTAGTCTACACACACAGAAGAAAGAGAATGGAAATATTTAGAGAACTGCAGTTCACAGTGGGTAAGGCAGGTGTGAGGAAACATGCTCCGTCATCAATCCAGAGAAAGGGGCAGTATTGTGGTGTTCTTTAAATAACAAAACTGTTAGAGATGTGTTACCGGACATCACAATAATAGGCAGTAGCATAAAGAGAGACAATTTACTAAACTATCTCATTATCAGGTGCCCTGCCGACTGGCGTGGGCGATAATGCCTCTCCACAATCTGTGATCTCCTGCGGCATGTATCAGTTCGTGTGCTGACACACCTCCATGCCATACAACAAGACTGTCAAGAATCTTCTCTCATTGTCTTCCTCTATCCCTCCTTCCACAGATCTTTCCAGTGGTCACAACGTTCCATTTTCCCTCTTCTCAAAATATGGCAGAAAAATGATGACTGTCTCCTTCTGATGTCTGTGATAAGTTGTCTTTGGGTTCCCGCCTCTTTCAAAACCTCTTGGTTGCTCTTTTTGGCTATCCAAGGTATTTTAAACATTCTTCTGCAAAACCACATCTCTGAGGACTCAAGAAATTGTTTGGCCTGCCTACTGATTGTCCAGGACTCACAGCCATCTGTTAAAACTGGATGTGTGTAGCAAGGAAAAACATCTAAAACATCTAGGAATTACTTTTGACAGGAGTGTCTTTCAGATATCATGTGTTGCAATGATGCTGGTTTCTATATCAGTCTTTTATCTGTCCTGATGGAAAGTTAGTATGAACAGATGATCAAGGAAAATCTATGCCCAGATGACATCATAATACATACAGATGGGTCTGTAGTGAGAGGTGGAAAGAGTGGGTGTGCGGTTTTATTGCAAAAGTGAATGGACACTGTTTGAAAACACAGAGCCTCGGATACAACATCACAACACACCATGCCAGCCCCTGCCTTCAAGGGTTAATGTACAAGTATTACATGACCAAACAAGTTTGTATTTTCCTATAGCTGCAAATATTCTAATTTCCTCACTCTTTTCCCAGGCAATCATTGTTAGATTCACTGGTTGTCAAAGACAGTCACAACTTTCATTTCAGAGAAAGCACATCCATGTTGTCTCCAAGCTCTTTCTTCATTTGTTCTCATCCCCAAATGCAGCAGCCATACAGTTGAACAGTCTCAGGATAACATTTCAGTGCTCTGTTTCTTCAGGTCCAATAACCAGAACAGGACATCTTTGCCAGCATGCAGGTCCTAAATTTGGACTTTATGACAGATCTGAGGTTGCAGGTTATGAACTGGATGGATAACATCCAGGATCTACAGCCTCCCAAGTTCTTCTTCTTCTCTTTACTCCTGGAATGCCTCACGGCGTCAAGGCAGGAAGAGATCTCTGGAACGGGTCCTACATAAACATTTCATTTCTGTTGTGACTGTTTTACTTCTCTCTTCTGAAGACAGTGTCCATGTTTGACACTGACAGTATAGCGTTGGAAAGAATACTGTGTTGAACAGTGTTCTTGTTCCCAAGTAACATAGTAGATATCTTACGATATCTTTAGATGTGTGTTTATCCCAGGTTAAGAATGGCCACTGCCGCTCCTCTGGGCGGTGAGCTGCTTTATGATAAAGTAGATGCAGTGAAGGCTCTCAGGGGTTAAATGTTGAATTAGGAATCGACATCACAGCACTTGGGACACTCCCATAAGTGCTAAGTCCCCATCTTCAGCAGCAAGCGAAAAGTTCCAAATCCGATGGTACCAGCAACCAACCGTCTAATTGTATATCTGTCTCATCCTTCCCGTAAGTGTTGAGCGTTGGCCAGATCCCTTGGTAAGGCATCGCAGCGCCATTCTCCTTAGACCGTAATGATCCATCTGCGCCTTTGCACTGTTCCCTTGCTTCCAAAGAGCCCTAACAATATATGATTCAATTTACCACCAAGTGGTGCACAGCCGGCCAGTCTATCTGCCTGCTTATTTCCCAACACACCGACATCCCTGGAGAACATATCCAAATGATACTAACTACCCGGGACCTCTGCACGAAGAATACCTGTTTTCACATTTCTCAACATGCTCTGTGAGTCAGTTACAATCACTGCAAGTGCGTACAGCTGATTCTCAAGCCAGAGACTGCCTCCACCTCCATTCTCAAACTAGACATTGTGATATCATATGCAAGGCTTTGCTGCACTAGGTGACGTCCATTCGCCTTTGCTATGAAACACCATGTACTTTGTCTGCCCCTCAACACAGAGCCATCGGAATAGATAATCATATCACTTGGGCAGAATTGTCATGAATCATTTGTTGAACTTCTGATTCTGCAGCACCAGCTGGCCAGTCTCTGTACTCACGACCTAAAGTGATTAGAACCCTACACAAGTCTGAAACTTGTTTGGACATTTTCAACCCAGCTCTCCAGGATCAAATAGACAGTGCAGAAGAACAAAGGATCAATACATTAAAAGATTAATTCAACTGGAGAGGGGAAGGTGGGTTGAGCAGTTCTGGAAGATGGATATTCAACAGTCAGGGGGAAACATAAGCAGACTTTTCATCAGGTTGCAGCTGATTCTCTTCGAATGTATACTCTTCTTCACTGGTCACTGCGGAAGAGACAAAGCATGTGTGGGAATTTCCTCAGTGCAGTAATGTCAATTCCTAATTCCTTCAATCCCAGGTTAGGAACTGCTATTACAAGTGTCTACACCAGTGTTTCCCAAACTTTTTTTTAGTTGCGGCACCTTTTTTTTTAAATACAATGTTTCCAACGGCGCACTAGCCTAAGTAAAAGTATGCCTGTTCGTACATAAGAGAGAAAATAAAAACTGTTTTTTCAAATATTTTGTGGCACACCTGTGAAGAAGTCGGGGTTCCCTGTGGCGCACAGTTTGGGAATCACTGGTCTATACTATTAAGCAGCCTGATAGAATCATACGTTTATTTCCTCACAACACAGAGTTATACCTCTTGAAGTTTCTCAGCTACTTCTCTGTCCAGCATATCCTGCTCTTCCTTCAGTCTTGCCTCTGCCTCTCTCTCCCTCTCCATCTCCTCCTGTAATGATCTAATCAAGGCTGCACTTGCCTCCTCCTCCATTTTTGCTTCCTCTTGACGTCGACGCTGAAGCTGTGAGAAAATAGAATGTGACTTAATTCAGTAATGTCATATAAGTTTTATCTGTGCAAAATAAACAAAATAAAGTGCTGACAGAATCAGCAATGTAGAACAAACCATACTCCCTCAAGTATAAGATTTTTTAGTTTCCAAAAATATAGGGTTTAAAACAGTATGTGCTTTATACAACAGTAGTACATTATTATTGTCGGCACACGAACTGATAAATGCTGCTGATCACAGATTGTGGAGGCATGATCCCCCACAGCAGTCGGCAAGGCACCTGATGATGATGATTATATTTACTTTGTTTTCAAATTTTGGGTTCCAAAATCAAGATGCGTCTTATGCACAGCAACATCAGCATATACTTGGGAAAATACAGTAACTTGGGAATTAAATCATTTTTACTAACCAACTGTTAATAATTCTGGCCATCCAAGGTATTTGTGACACTCACTCCAGACATCACATCCCTGCTGCATACCACACAATTTCACCTGTTACCGAAGGTTTCTGCTGTATCTTCTTTTTGTCTAAGATTTCTGCTGCTGCATCCAAGAGCCCTTCGTTCATGCTTTGTGCCAGTGAATTGAATTTACATCTTCTTCTAGTAGATTTAGAACAGCATATTTGCCTCCCATAGTTGCTCTGAAGATATCTGCAATTTCAGGATTCTTCAGTTTTTCTAGATGAAATCTCAGTCGAGTATAGCTGTTACAATAGAAGTTCTTTTTTTGAGTTTGAATGTAATGAGAACCATACTGTAGTCGCTGCCAATGTTAGCTGCCTGGTCCGGACTTCGGGTCACTTCGTAAATGTCTGGGGCCCCAATATAACCTTGTGGTTGAATAGGGCTTACCAGGATTTGTACAAGTAGAATTCTCATCCATGAGGTGTTAATCCTTTGGACAGCAATCCTAAAGTGAACAAATGGCAACACAATGCCTGCTGCCCGAAAGCACTTTTGAACTGGTTGTCTACATTCCAGGATTCCCTGCTTTACATAATAAATAGTTCCCCGTGTGGGTTCCGGGGCCCCATTGTGGGAAAAACAAGAATAGACCCACTGCCTACCCAAAAGCATGTCGTAAGAGTCGACTAATTGGGGAGCTTCCTTTGAAGTCGGAGTACATCTGCCTGAGGGGCAAGGAACCAACAGTCTGTATTCAAGTGAATCAGATCTGTAAAACTGATGCACACGCAACACTCAAGTTCTGGAGTAGGACTGCAGTTCAGAAGTGGACGAAAGCCAGAACTTTCCGCCAGAGTTTACAGCTGGTGAACGCAAAGAAGAAGAAGATAATAAATAGTTTGAAATAACATTTCAATAACCCCAGTGTGGGGTCCGGGGCCCCATTGTGGAAGCAAACATTAACAGACTCACTGCCTCCCTAACAAGCATGTCATAGGAGTCGACTAATTAGAGGATTACTTTGCAGTGCACCTGCCAGAGAGGCAGGAACCAACAGTTCAAATACAATTAGACTAGATCTGTAAAACATGTGAACACGGAAAACTCAGGTCCTTGAATAAAAGCCAAAGTCTAGAAATGGACAAACAACCAGGATATTCTGCCGGTGTTTACAGTTGGTGAATGCAAACAAACAGATCAATACTCCAGTTCTGACTGACATACAACACTATAATGAAAACCCTGTTGGAAGAAAAGATATTTTCCATTCACCCTTAAAGAGTGGTTGGCATGTTTTGGTTTATAGCTAGGCCACAATATCCTGACCTGGTTTTTTTCTTAAATTCTCTTTGTGGGTTCTGTGGCCCCATTATGGGGGAAGAATACTGACCCACTGCCCTCACAAGCATGCTGTAAAAGTAATTTAATTAGGAATGTTTGCTTCACAGTTGGAGTGCATCTGCCTGAGAGGCAAAGAACCAACAATCTGCATACAAATAAGCCAGATCTGTAAAATGCATGTGCTAGCAAAACATAAGTTCTGGAACAAGACTAGAGTCCAGAAGTGGATGAACAACCAGAACTTTCCACTGAGTTTATAGCTGATGAGTGCAAAGAAGAAGAAAGAACATTTCTTCTGAAACATTTTGGGTGTCCAGAGATATACAAGGTTCTGGTCATCATATCAGCACAAGTGACATCATGCTGGACAACCACGGCAATCCACCAAAAGGTGTGAAGGTGATAGTCAATACAATTTCTGTGACTATGAGCTAAATATAGTCAGTACCTTTTCCAACTCTGCCTCGTATTCTTCTCGGATCTCGCCAGGTTTCGACACTGCCATCAACTGTCTCAGTCCTGAACAAAAAGGGGAAAAAAACTCTAGGTTTAACTTGCTTTGTTTTATTCAGCTTGTGCTTCAAACAAATGTACAATATGTTTATTTCTACAAGTAAAGTACAGTAGCCATACATGGTTTCTCTCTCACTCTGCCTCATTCAGTTGTTGCTTCAAAGTAATTCATATATGGGTCTAAAGGTAAAGTAACACATGTTTATTTCTACAACTAAAGTGAAGTAGTCACACATACTCTCTCTCTCTCTCATTCAGCTGTTTTTTTCAAAGTAATTTAAGCCTAAAGATAAAGTAATAGTTTATTTCTAAAAGTACAGTAGATATACATGGCCTCTCTCTCTCTCTCATTTAGCGGTTGCGTCAAAGTAATACATATTTGGGTCTAAAGGTAAAGTAACACATTTATTACTAAAAGTACAGTAGAGGCTAATAAACAGCATACCATCTCGGAAGCTGAAACCTTTTGGTAATATCAAGCGCCATGACAGATTGGAAAAAATAATAGCAGAAGGCATGGTACCAGGAAGGAGGAGCAGGGGCCGACCAACACAAAGATGGGCACAGGATATAAGTGACTCCTTGAGTATGAAAATGCATGAGGCGGAAGAGCTGGCAAGAGACTGAGTTTCTTCCAGGCAGAACATGATGAGAGCGACGTTCTGCAAAGGACCTTGTAAATGATGATGACAGTAGAGGCTCAGAAGAGGGAAGAGGCAGACCAAGAAAGACAGAACTTGACTGACTGGATGGGCCTTAGACAAACAACCATAAAGTCCCTTGCTTCTGACCGCAAAAGGTAGAGGAAGCTGATCAGACAGTCAACGGCAACTGGTGACCCAATTACACGCAGTGTTACAGGAACATGATGATAATGATGAAACTACAGCAGTCACATATAAATAAGTTGTTCAGTAAAATAAAACCTGTTTCCACGTCTTGAGCTGTAACAGACATATGATGCTATCCTCATATTTTCAAAAACTAGTTCTCTGTGGGTGATGTAGGCAAAGGTTAAGGTAAAGTCGGGAGATGTGAACCAGCCTCATTGCACACGGTTATAAACCATAAGTGCTCTGCCACCAGTACGGGCAGCTGATGAGAAACTGTCCGCCTGTGTTGCCGTCTGTACCTAACTCTGTAGCTACAGCAACGTTCCTCCATTTATCCCAGAGTGTTACTCTGGTACCCATTTCCTAGAGGCTAGTTGAACCCTGGAAACCGCCCGGTTTCAAACACCCACCGTGGCTGCAGCGGGTCGCAGCTGGATTTAACTGTGCTAATGCGGCTCCCTAAAGTCAATATCATGCCAACCACTTTTACTTCCCTGAAAGCTTCCTGATGTCAACAATTTTAGGTTGGGTCAACCTGGCAGTCCAAGTTACACTTAAATAACTTGATATGGATTCAAACATACAACTATCAAGCAAACAGGTAAATGTGGTCACTGTGGCTAAAAAAAAATTAGGGAAAAAGCACATGACGTTTTAAACCCCGCTGGCCTCAAAAAAACTAAATTAGTTACTTCAGGCTGTGACATAGACCCCTAAATGCCGACATAACAGCCTGTCTCCAGTGACCTGTTCTTGAAAAGCCTAGTTCATTTCAGCTGGTTTTGTGTACACCTGTGCAGTGTTTAATAGGTCAGATATGAATACAGTAACTAAAAATGGGAGGTGGGGGTCCTCATGATCAAAATGGCTTTTTTTCAAAAAGCCAGTTTGTGTAAACCGTTTCGTAAACCTCAGTGATAAAGGTTATCGCCCGAGTCACTCAACACATACTGGATTTTTTAAGTAAGCCCAAGGGAGTGTATTCCATTTAGAACTTCATTCTATTCATGTTAACGTTTAACTCTGTTATATATATTTGTATACATATATTTTTTTTAAGTCCTAACCGAAATAACATACAACATTTCTTACTTGTTTCATAGTTCTCTAAATCATTGTCATCATCAAGTGTCTCCTTTCCCTCCAATCGCTTCTGCACTTGCACAGGAAATTCCTTCTTAATCGCAGCCCATTTGGCCTCATCAATAAGGGAGCCTGCCTTTGCAGACTTCCGAGCCCAGACAGATATCCGAAGGCGGCAAAGAGGGCAGCACAGATTGGCCTTCTCCACAGTCTGCTTGTAGCAGGGAAAGCAGATGGAGTGTTTACAGGGCATGGTGACTGGTTCAATCAGGATGCACAAGCAGATTGGACAAGTACAATCTTCCATTGGGGCCATGGTAGCTGTCTTCACGATCTTTTTCACAGGTGTCTGGAAAAAAAGTGTAGCAGAATGTGTATTATTTTTTCAGCAAAATAAAGTGAGTTATAGAGAACTTCAGCTGTTGTGCATGTCTGTATGGCCCAAGTATGCACCTATGAAGTCTTCTTCTTCTTCAGTGATCTCTGGTCATGCGCATAATCCACTGTGGGTCATAAACTGGGATGTCTTTTCAAGGTCCCTTAGGTTTCCCCAAAGCTTAGTTGTCAGTTCTACTGGGTGTTGCCATATGTCGCTCCGGAGCTCCGCCAGGAGAGGACAGTCTTGCAGGACATGTTCTGGAGTCTGTTCAGCACGAAGACACTGGCAGAGAGCTGTTTGGCTCATACCTAATTTATATGAGTGTTTATTGAGTCTGCAGTGTCACCTATGAAGTAAAACTACAGAAGTTTGTGCACATAACCAGATATCCTAAACTCGACTGCAGTCACACATGATGTATGTTAATAAATATACAGTTCTTACAATAATTTTCAGTTTATTCATTTTAAATGTATGTTCTTCTTCTTTGTGTTCATCAGCTGTACACTCTGGCGGAAAGTTCTGGTTGTTCATCCACTTCTGGACTGCAGTCCGGTTTCAGAACTTGAGTGCTGCGTGTACATCCATTTTACAGATCTGACTCATTTGTATGCAGACTGCCGGTTCCTCCCCTCTCAGGCAGATGCACTCCGAGTTCGAAGGAAGCTCCCAATTAGCCGATATGCTTTTGGGTAGGCAGTGGGTCTATTCTTGTTTTCCCTATAAAAGGGCCCCGACACCCACACAGGGATAAACGTATGTTAAAGATTTAACTAATCAAATGTATGTAAATATGCACACAGTATATACATAAGGTAACATAAGTACAGAGGCGTAACTAGGATTTAACAGATGCCCTGTGTGCCACTTGAAGGAGGTAAAGAGAAACAAACATTTCTTTATACTCATAACCGTTATTTTATGAGTTAAAGAACATGAAGATATTTACTGGGGTTAAGGAGTGGTCTCCGCGGCCTAGCCATTTGCTTCGCACTCTGAAATGTTGTAGGTTCATTTTACGGCTGCACTATTCAGTTCGCGAGTGCAATTTTTAAAGAGATCCCAGGAGACTGTTGCCGGAGCTACAAAGTTCGAACAATGTTCTCGGCAAGCGGCTAGCCGTTCTGCAAAGAAAGACCGAGCCACATTGAATAAAACCCAGTGCAATGAAGTCGATCCTTTATTGGGGATAAAAAGATTTACAGGCACTTAAACTGAACCTGGGAAAAAAATGGATTTAAAGCTGTGAGGCTATTTAAAGCCAAAAGAAACATTACAACAAATGCTGAAAAGACAGAAAGATGCTAAGCTGGGTTATCAACAAAATCAAAAGGTCTAGAGAGCATAACACTATTAGTAATAATATGGGATGGAGGAATTAATTCCAGCCCTATCCGAATACAAAGGAAAAGAAATGTGACGATGATGACAGGAAATATTAGTTCTTATTACTATCAACCCGCACATAAAATATTGATCATAAAAAAATGTTGAATGCTGAATTAAGAATCAACATCACAGCACTAAGGACACCCACATAAGCGCTCTGTCCCCATCTTCAGCAGCAAATTATAAGTTCCAATTCCTATGACACCAGTAACTGTCAGATCGTATATCCCTCTTGAGAGTTCAGCACCATTCTCCTCAAACGGTAATGATCTATTTGCACTTCGGCACTGCTCACTCATTCCCAGATGGCCCTCACAATGTCTAGCTTGTCATACATCAATTCAGCACCAAGTGGTGCAGAACTGGCCAATCTATCTGCCTGCTCATTTCCCAACACACCAGCATCACCTGGAGAGAATATCCAAAGGATACTAACTACCAGGCCCTTTGAAGTGATGCTTACCATTCTGCAAGAAGCATACCTGTCTCCACCTTTCTCAGCATGCTCTGTGAATCAGTGACAATCAAGGCATGTGTGTGCAGCTGATTCTCAAGCCAGCGGAAGGCAGCAGTGAATGCCTCCACCTCCATTCTCAAACTAGACGTGATATCATATGCCAGGCTTTGCTGCACTAAGCGACATCCATTCGTCTTTGCTATAAACTCCCACGCACTTCGTCTGCCCCCCACAGAGCCATTGGTATAAATAATCACATCACTTGAGCAGGAATTGTATATTTATCATAATCAATGAACTAAACGGATACTATTATTACTATGGTCTTATGAACACAGTTCACATAGTTTGCTCAACTATCATATATTATTAATATTATGTGCATATATGAAAATAATTATATGAATTATGACATATTAATTTGTGTTTTATTGTTTCAATACAATGATGAAATTCCCCAATGTGAACAGAATCACTGAATACAAATGATATGGAAATATTTTTATTGAATGATTTATTTAAAAAAAATGAGATGTGGCGTGGTACTCAAACAATTACAGCCGTAACACAGTGAACATGTCTAAATAAAGTAAATAAAATCGAAGGTCAGATACTAGTATTACGTATGTTTGTTAATCAACTAATAAACAGATATGGAAGTCGCACTTTGTGGCCTGAAAAGAAAATGATGACTAATTACTAAAAAAAAAAACAGACTGGCCATGGGGTAAGTCAAGATCCGTGAGAGATGGCTGCATGAATCAATGTCTTAACCTGCCGCCACTATCTGCTGATCATTATATATTCATCAAATGTTTAGTGTAGTGTTGCCTCTTAATGACTCGACTATACTGTGTTTTTTTCTTTGAAGTGATGTTGCGATAAACTGTGGTGACTGGATATTACCTTTAGGATGCTGACAATATGAAGGTAATGACAAGTGTTGGTGTCTGTGGCTTAGGTGCAAACGCGCCTCATAATGTAGGGGTGCCAGGTTTGATCCCTGTTGCGGACGGTTTGTCTTGAGATGGTTTCGATCGTGGTAGCGAGAGCTGACAGCCCAGAAAGCAATGGCAAACTACTGAACGTAAATTTGCTAGAAAAGCCACAACAGCCAGAAAGTGATGGGGTTAGTTCTGCAACATCCTGTAAAGCATACACAACTAATTTTTTATTTTGGGAAGTTACATATTATTTCACAATTAGTATAACATTTTCATTTCTCTTTTTGTAGATATAGTTATATATAGACCAGTATTCTTTGCATCCTTCTGATGATTCCTTCCCACATGCGAAAGAAAAACCAGTTGTAGTAGTAGTAGTAGTAGTATTTGGTAAGTAGTATTTATTAGTATTTAGTAAGTAAAAGTTTTTAGTATTTCAGTATTTTTATGGGGAAAGGATCTCATTATTCTCATTTCATCATTTGTTCACTGAAAGTGCAGTTCAGTGACTCACTGAGTGAGAGTGAGAAGTAGAGTGATAAATTAGGAGTTGTAGGCCTACCCTACCTTTTGAAACAGCAGTATCTAAACAATAAATGATTTGCTTCGTGAAATTAGTCACCTTAGTGAAGGATATAATTGAATTTCGATATATTGATAGAATAATAGATGATAGTGATGATTATTACTAATTACTGACTATTACTATTAGTTACAAACTTAATTCTAACCGTTCTAACGGCAACGGGGAAGTCAAAACTACAACACAAGACTTGACTTACTATTTGTCTAGTTTCGGATCTTCCTATAACAGGAACATTAAAAAACACATTTCATCAATCTACGAATGATATTTTATTTTTATTAATGTTCATGTTCACATATTTGTAGAAATAAAGCCAAATAAACATCCAATAACTGTTTCCTTTCAGTTTCCGCCACATTTACACTTTTGGCGAAACTTGCTTTCTAAAACTTTAGTAGTTGAAGAGTTACACATTCAAAACATTGCTTCCCGTTCGGATTTTTAATAATATGGTGACAGTCAATATACATCTATCTGGGAATTCAAACATACATTAATCTGTTCTGAGTTTTAAAGATAATTTTCTCCTATTGAAAATAAAAGGAGACTTAATGTATCTTGTCCAGGGTACAACAAACTAAAATGTTTTATTGAATTACCGAGTTCGACAGGGATGTGTGTCTCTCAATCCCCCGTCCCTTGTTTTTTCAACACAAATGACAATGTAGAGAGCAAAGAAAATGCTGAAATTTCCGAATTTTTATATGAAGACTGTCGGCTCTGTGGCTAAGTCGATGCGAACGCTTCGTAATGCCTGGATGCCGGGTTTGATCCCAGCTGCGGGCCATGCGCCTTGCATTGGTTTCGACAGGGGTATCAAGAAAGCCGACCGCACAGTAAGCAATGACAAACTCCTGGACTTGATTTAATTTGATTTGATTCAAGAACCGACATCACAGCACTCGGGGCATTCCCATTAGCGCTCCGTCCCCATCTTCAGCAGCCAGCGAAGAGTTTCGATACTAATGGTGCCATTAGCATTCTGATTAAACGTCCGTCTTGCCTTTTCTCTGAGCCTTGAGCATCTGCCAGAACCTCTCGTCACTCCCCGCTGCCTAAATCTCACCATACTGTGGTGATCCATCTGCTCCTCCGAACTGTACACGCCACAAGGCAATAACCACGTCTGCCTTATCACGTATCAGTATTCAACCAAGTTGTGCAGAGCCAGCCAGTCTGTCCGCCTCTGTTCATTTCTCAACACACCGGCGTGCCCCGGTGAAAAAATCCAGACAATACTACTCACCCGTGTCCTCCGTAGCATGCCACTCTGCACGAAGCATACCTGTTCTGACCTTCCTCAGCATGCTTTCTGAATCAGTTACAATCATGATATCTGTGTGTGTGTGTGTGTGTGTGTGTGTGTGTGTGTGTGTGTGTGTGTGTCGTGTTCTCTAGCCAGCGGAAAGCTGCAGTGACTGCCTCCACCTCCATTCTTAAGCTAGGTGTTGTGGTATCATATGCTAGGCTCTCCTGCACGAAACGTCGACCATTAACTTTTGCTAAGAAGCACCAGGCACTTCTTTTGCCTCTCGACACTGAACCGTCTGTGTTAATGATC